TGTTGGTACTCCACTGTTACACAAGTCTGTCTTACAGCATTTAACAGGAGATACGCAGTATATGTCATTTACGCAGCCTTTAAGTACATAACCTGAACCAACAAGACAGAAAAATTATTAAAAACAATACTGTCAAAATTGTCACAACTATGCATAATAAAATGATATAAGTACAGCAACTTTGTATTTGATTTATGATTCTTGCAAAATAAAAATGAACTTCACCATTTTCTTTGACAGTGACGCAACGGTTGTATAGAGAAGAACAAGTGATGATGTCTGTGCAGGTTTTTGGATGCTGCGTGAAGCATGTGAAGCATTTCAGTCCACATGCTGCACAAAAACACAAAGATTCAACACAAACCACACACAATTAGTGCACACAATCCCATTCATTTAAACACTTCAAAGACAGAGTTAAAAACTTGTGGTTTTATTTTATTCCATTTTTTTTATCATTTTATGTAAATTAGACAATCTAAACTTCCAAATCACTACTGGTTTAAAATCATCCAGAGTGAGGGATCGGAACCAGCAGGAAACTGAAGAAACACTTTTCAACACAAATTCTGACAAACTTTAACCAAAACTTTACATCTGTGGAGGATCATCTTCAAACACTGACACGTTTTTGTTCTGAAATCACAGTGTTGTTTGAAATCTTGTAGATCCTATGAGAAGACGTCCTTACCTGCAGAGAGAGTCATCAGCAGGATCAGAGCTCCGTGAAGCTGCATTGTGAAATGTTGGTCAGCCTTGTGATGAAAACTGAAGCGAAGTCTTTTTCATTATCAAACTTTTATACTTTTAGATGCTCAGCATTTGCATATCACGATAAGACTTCCTCCCTTCTGGGCAGCATGTCAGCAGTTCATAAGTGACCTATTTTTTTTTTTCTTGTAAAAGATCAAAGATCAATACAACTCTCCAACATTTATTTTACATTTGAATTCAAAGCTGTGGCTGATTTGTTAAAACTAAAAAGCAAATAACATTATTGACAGCTGCAATATTATTTTATGACCCCCCATCCCCGCCATCCCCCAAATCCACCACCAAAATAATACTAAATAAACCAAACWGCTGAGAGGATAAAACAACAGGTGAGATAACATCAATAGTAAAGTCCAGTGCCATGCCTTGAAAACACCAATAAACCAAACCGAGTGTGCAACTTGTGTCATGCATCAGTCATCCACCTGTAACCTGCCCCATGTGACCTGTTGTAACAATCCTAAATAACTTTTCAGCTTACAAAGCTGAAATGACTTCAACTGTTGCTCCTTAAAGTGAACAAATCAATATGGTTTTTAATAAGAAGCAAAGTAAACAAAACAATAACAGCAAAGCATTAACCCAAATAACTGTTTGGTTATTTTGGGAGTGAACTTTTAAAAACTTGAAGTCTCCTTTGGAAACCACAGTAAAAGCCTTTTTGTTTGTTTAAATAAAAGTTTTTGTTATTTTTTAGCTGCTTGTAGCAGTCTACATTCTGCGTTCCCACATTCATGAAACAATGATAATAAAAATGTGCTACATATGAAATTTGCACCAATTCTGCTTTCACAGCACTGTTACATTGTTACTGTTACACCTTATTTCTTTAAATAAAAAAAATATATTTAAAAGGAATCATTCTGAGGCCTCCAAAGTGTTAACTGATTTAAGGAATAATACAGTATATAAAAAACTAGAAGCACTCAGAGAGTGCAAACCTCCGCCAAGACCAATTTCCCCCAGCCTGTAAGAGTTAATGCGCAAAAGCAGAGATGGAAACACATTTGCTGAATAAGTTCCGACGTAGCGAACATTTAAGCAGGCAGTATGCACAGGATTTCTTCTCGGTGGAGTCCAATGTGGAAAAAAAAGTCAGACTCGTCACCCGACGTTATTCATCATCAAACTGGTGTCGGATTAACCTCCTAAGTTTTCGTCAGTCGCATTTCACCGTGTTGAGGGCTCGACACACGGGAGGCAACGTTGCTCGCTCTCCATTCATTTCCTATGGAGCCTGTGCGGTGAGGCGACAATCGCTTGCCCTCCTCCAGCTAAGCGACCAGCGAAAATAGTGCATGTGAAATTTCACGTGCACACGCGCACATGCGAGCTTGCGACGCGACATATGAAAGTTGAAAAATGTTGAACTTTTGTCGCTGTCGCTTAGCATACAACCAATCAGCGAGGGTTTCATTGACTGACCAATGAGAGGAGAGTATGCCACACACTGCCGTTAGCTAACGCTTTCACCAAGGGATTACTAAAAAGCTTTGTGGGAATTTATTGGCACCAGAGTGAAGTTTATGGGTTTTCCCTCAAAACTGTATCTTGATGTGTGTTTGTTTTTCAATATCATTAGCATCGCAAGATTTGTTTAGTTTACACGTCCGTAACGCACACCCACCTTCAGAGTCAAGAACCAATCAAATTTTGTGAAGACAAGCGATCTGAGAGCGCGATTCGCAACGCTGCGATCGCTATCGCGTCCCGTGCGTCGGGTTTCACCCTGGCTGCGATGACAGCCGTTAATCGCTGTAGTTTGTCGCTGCCCGTGTGTCGAGCCCTTAAAACGTCTGTTTTATCCCGTTGTATGAGTTTGTAATGGTTTGACTCTCTTTATAAAGTGCTTCCTGCCCCACTCCAGCTCTCTGTTTACAAGCCAAGTAGCGAGAAACTGTTTTTATTGGTTGTTTCAGAAATGTGGTGTGTTTGAGGAAATGGGAAAAATAGGTTTCATGGTGCAGTCACGCACTTCCTGATCACAAAACATTCTCTAAATGCGCATATTATGGCAATAATTATTCATTATTAAATGTGGTTTTAACATTACTTTTATAAAGTTTGAAGTCCGTGCTGTCCAGTCCAGCTTATTGTTTTTTTACAGAAGCCCTGTGAAAGCATCACAGCTATGCCGATCTCAGAGTGTTAAAAGAAAAAAAATTGCTGTATCTTCATCGTGATCCGGAACATCACCAAAATTTAAAGGTGTTCCTTGGCCCAGTACCCACATGTGGTAAAAATGTCATGACAATCCATCCATAAGTTTTTGAGTAATGTTGTCCACAGTCATACAGACAGACAGACAGACAGACAGACAGACAGAGAGACAGACAGACAGACAGACAGACAGACAGACAGACAG